TCCAACCTCCCCTGCTCCCTGTCCCCTGACTGCCCTCCCAACCCCTATCCACATTCCTGTCCCCTGACAGGCCCCCCGGGACTCCCACTCCCAATCCTCCCTATTCCCCATCCCCTGACCACCACCCCCAGAACCTCCACCCCATCCAACTGCCCCCCAGAACTCCATGCTCCCTTGCCCAACTCCCCCGCGCCCCGCCCCCTTACCAGAAGCAGGAGCTTGCAGCCGCAACACCTGGCCAGAGCCAGCTGCACTACCCACACTGCCCAGCGGAAGCAGCGGGCCAGAGCGCGGCCCGCACGGTGGCGTGGCTGCGTGGGAGGCGGGACAGTGGGGAAGGGGCCGGTGACTAGGTTCCCCAGCCGGGAGATTGGAGGCCGGGCAGAACGGTCCCGTGGGCCGGATGTGGCCTGCAGGCCGTAGTTTGCCCATGTCTGGTCTAAAAAGGTATGAAGAGATGACACTCTCTCTTAATCACCCCGACCCTACCATATGTTGTCCCACAAGACTCTGTTCTTCCTCACACCCCTCTATAGAAGGCCAGAGAGACTGTAAGGTGCTGCAGACTTGTGTGTTACCAATATGCAGATGAAACAACTATACACCTCCTTTGTCATCAATGCAGTCTCTGCCACTACCAGCATATCCTAATGCTTGGAAGAAGTCAGCCGAAACTCAACTCAGAAAAGACTGAAGTGATCTTAGCAGAAGGTGAAGGGAGTAGAAAAACAGTAACATTTGCCAACACGATCATCAACCTCAGATAAAGGCATCAGATTGCAAGAAGGGGATAACATGCTTCAGAGTCATGTACTCATCCCTATGTCTGGACACAAATTGCCATAACAGGGAGCAATGCATTCTTTCCACCTTCCACAACCATTTGGACCCGCACTGCAATATGCTTGTGTCTCTCTCAGGTTACACTACTGCAGCTCTACCCGAGGATGACAACTGACAGAAGAGGGTTGAAGATGGTGGCAGCACACAGTAGTGAACCTCAGAAGTCAAAGGCAAACCCATCATCATGCTTCACAAACACTACACCTGAAGCAAATGGGGAGCCAAATTAAAA